TGTAATTATGTTAGTAGTTCGAGAGTTATCATATATTTGGGATTTCGCATAGAGGTGCAAAGAAACCATTTTTTAGGCAACTCTGGCATCAATCCTGTCATATACACAGTCTTCAATAGAGAATTCAAACGTGGACTTTGCCGCCAACTTCGGAAATTTGAACGCTACGTTGAGCCTATCACCGGATTCTACAAATGAAATTGTTCTTAAAATCCTTTATTGTTCTCAATTAAACTAGAGATGATCTCTTTTCAAGCTGCTGTCTTTCTGCCAGATTTTCGTGTTATTTGACTTGCTTTAATTGATATTCTCTGTTTCTAAACCGGTCCTTGCAATTCTCGTGCTTTGATGTCGTGCCACATATGGGAAACAATAAATTCTAAATTAAATTCTTTTATTGAAATATGGACACTATAATGCACACCTGTACGATTCTGACTGGAGAGAAAATTTGGCAAAAATAAAAATCATATATTCAACTGAGACATTGAGTACGATGCATTCTTCTTGTTTCGTCGCATTTTTCTATATTTCCTAAAGAAACCCTGCCGCGTTGGTTGTCCAAGTGACACCGAATCCGAAGTACTAGATTGGCCCTGAAATTAGACTTTTACTATCAGTATACATGCATCGAAGAACAAATTCCTTTTGCTGACAACTCAATCAAATTGCAAAGTATTTGCGAGTTTTCGTAGAATATCTAGAATAGAAGCAAAAGATCTTGGGGATATCAAGACAGCGTCCACCCAAACCTTCAATTTCTATGTTTTTGCTATTCTGGGCCTTTCCGGGCTCTTGTTTTCAGTCACAAAGTGCAAAATATCCAAAACCTCCCAAGAAACCTTGTTTGAAAACCCTATCTCAAAGGCCTAGACGACTTCCAGTCCATAGATGGGCGGAACATGATAAAGTGGGTGTGGCCTGACAGCACATTCGCGGGTTTCAGCTCCATCTCCTCAGGGGGCTCAAACTAGGAAACCGAACAAGTGTAAATGCTCTACTCCTTCTTGTAATTTAGATGCTATTCGGAAGAGCATAGATTTTGCCTGGAAGCTGTTTCGATGCAGAAATAAATTTCAACGAAATGAGAAGTAATGGAGGTATTTGGGGAACCCGCGGTAGAGGAAAGCGAATCTAGAAAAATACCATGCTGCTTATAATGGAAATCAAAAAATCGAAATCGAAGGTTGTCGCTTAATCCGGAACCACCGAACTCACAGCAAGAGAAAAGATGATTGAAAATTGGCCCTCCGCCCCCTCCGCCTCTTCTCTGAGCCTCATCCACATACAACATTATTTACACGCAATTGTAGCTAATCACTTCAGCGTATAGGCATTTTTTGAGAAAATACACGTAGTATGAGCCCAATTGAAATCAGATCTTCATACTGATGTTACCTGGGATCTCCTCCTTAGAAGTGGAACTCCTGTCATCGAGGTTGACATTGCTCGAGCCCGTTCGAACGGTGCTAAGTGCAAGTTGGAGGCCTATATAAATTATTATAAATCATCAAAACAATTTGAGATGCCATGAGGAATTCCAAGAGCATTGCAATGTCAAGCCCCAAACAAGTTCTTTCAATTTCTTTCGCAGCAAGGGAAAATGTGCTGGCATGTAAGCTGATTTCTCTGGATTCGTTTCACGCGGAACCATCAGAGATTGCGAAAATATATGCCTAAGCATCTAACAATTGATATACAACTTTGCCAAAACTTTTATGCGATGATCCAGCCATCTTGATAAAGCAATGAGAAATTTCTAAGAGACAGGAAAATGACACCAAAGCAAAATCGGAACTTTTTATGCGAATTTTGGACTAAAAATTGTATCGTATCAAAGCCTATAGTACTCCACTTATAACTGCAAAAACTCAACCCTTCCAATTTTGGGAGATCAATCACATTGCAATTCTTTTGTTTACTAATCCCATCAATTCTTGATTATCTCGTTGATTTGATAGCAGCTTTTCAATATTGAGCGCAACAAAATAGACTGATTTTTTCGGTTACCGTCAAATTACCAAAATAATACATTTTTTGATGCTATGCTCACCTCTCTTGCCGCAGCCGTCGATACCGGGTCTATAGTAACATATTCAACCCGCGAGTTTACTGAAGTAGAACTTGACGATGAATTCGCAACTGCTGGCAGAGCAACATCACAGTAATCCACTCTACGGCAGCTAGCTACACTCTCTAAGACGCTTATTATTATTTTTTTATCTGCGCTGATTCCTGACTGGAAAATGGGGACATACGGAGCGAATGCATGCTTGTGTTTGGTCTGGAATATTGTCCACAAATCGTCGGCGAATTCGTCCTGGCTGTCCTCTCCGATTCTAGCGAATCGCCCGAAGTGCTTGCTTGCTAAAGATTTTGTTGTCCAGGAAAAGTTAAAGGACCACTCCCTTATGCATCCCAACCCACCAATAGAGTGTGCGAGCTTGGTTGTCGAGGAAGAAGAATCGGAGCTGGGACATTTGGAGGTGAGTTGGTTCGTTTCCGGAATGAAATTCGCGATCGAGCATCAGAAGATAATGATTCGCTGGACGACCTGGAACAAATGCTTGTATGACCAGCAATGTTGGTTCAATCCTTTCTTCTCAAAAAACACCCCTCAAGTTCAAAAATAGGAGCCTTC